ATTAATGTAAAACTAAACAAGGTACAATATTTATAAATAATCATTTAAACAATTAATTATAGAATCGATTGAACGTGTCTTGAATTATTTATGTGAATTTTATGTGTTCTTATTATACTTACATTGGGAAGAAATCATATGCAGTTATATTCTATCAGAAGATTAGCAGAAGGAATGCATCCTAGTTATCACAAATTAGGAAAACAAATGGCTAATACATTATATTATGAAACTCTGTTCTTGTACAAAATCTTTTACCATGTTTTCTAAACGATGATGGAAGATATTATTGTTCATCGACTGCCAAGAAAAATTTATGTATTTATATAAATTAATATCTTCTTTGCAAGGAATTCCATGTGAAATATTATGGGAATAGAATGCAGCTGCTCTTATTAAGAATTATCTAGACAATAATATGTTAAGAGGTAAATATAATCATTTAGTTTGAAAAAGAAGTAAATATTATAATACTATTAAAATCCACTTACTTTTATTATATAAAAATTGATTGAGGAGTTGCATTTATTTTTAATCAATTAATAAAAACATATTGTGTGTGTGGGTAATCTGTATTTTATTACCGACTGGTAAAATATGTATCGCCAAATGGCGATACCGATAAATATCGGTACTAGATATTACTTCACTGTACCGACTAGTAAATTTAGGCTGCCATCTAGCGGAAGTAAATGTTACTATATCTTACCGATTAGTAGAATATGTTTCGCCATCTAGACAAAAGATAAAACATCACTAGGATAAAATCAAGATGGCTACCTGTCAATGTACTTTGAATACCATAAATACAGGCTATGTGCAGTGTAAAGTATTTAATTAAAAAAATCCTTTTAGTGATGCAATAATCAAGTGAATAATATTTTTTATTTATAATAATTCGTTTCATATTCCTTATTAAGTGATCGCCAATTCTGGATGAAAATAATTAAACTGGATAAAGTGCTGTGGGACAGTGTTATGTTATAACCTAAGAAAAATGATTTTCTTAATTAAATCCGAGAATGCAGATGAATTCCAGACGTTCTTTTTATTAAATTATTATAACAAATACTAGTAAGTAACTTATATATTTTGTTTATACGAAATTCTACTAATTATTAAAATATATGGATTATTTTGTCTTTTAACTTTATGCATTATCTAAACATTTTCTCTCTTCAAACTTATTTTGGTATTTATATAAACTACTTTTTAAAATATTTTTAAATCAGATCAGCATGCAGATCTATATTTTAAATTCCAATCCAAGAACGTCATACCCAAGAGAAGAAGAGTACATTACACCATTGGATCAATGGATATATATTTCATTTTCTTACGACTAACGATTAGAAGATTTGCATTGATTATGTAATCCGAAAAAGAGTTTTATTCTATAATATTATGTAAATAGAATGCAGCTGCAGTAACAAAGAATAATCAAGACAAGAATGTGTCAAAAGGTAAGCATTGCAATCTTGTATTTGTAAAAGACAAACCTATATTAAACTGATTAATAAACTAATACATTCCACAGGGGAGTTAAATAATTTGAATAGAAGTGTCTACTCATTATTATCAAAATTGATAAGAAGAATAAAACAATACTACAACTATGAAAGATTGTTTAATGCACTGTTCTTATCATACTTGCACTGCGAGAAAACCATATGTAGTAATATTTTATCAAAAGAATACCAGAACACATGTATCTTAGTTATCACAAAATAAGAAAACAAGTGGCAAATACATTATGTAAGGTAACTCTATTATAGAAGAATATCTTTTACAAAGTTTTGTACACGGTAATAGAAGATATGTTTTCTTCATTGGCTGATAAGAAAAATTGATGTATTAGTTAATAAATATCTTATTTGCAAGGAATTTCATGTGAATTATTATGGGAATAGAATGCAGCTGCTCTGATTAAAAATAATCTAGACAATAATATGTTAAGAGGTAAATATAATAATTTAGTTAGAAAAAGAAGTAAATATTATAATACTATTAAAATACACTTATTTGTATCATATAGTAAATGAT